AAAAAAAAAAAAAAAAAAGAAAGTGCTAAACTCCATCTAAAAAAACAAAACAAAAGCTCAACAAAACCAGAAGTTGATTCTATGAAAAAAATAGTAAGATAGATAAAACACTAGACTAATGAAGAAAAAAGAAATAATTCAAATAAACACAATCAGACTAAAAAGTAAAAAAAAACAAAAACAAAAAATAAAAAACCCCAGCTACTTGTGAGGTTGTAGAGAAATGGAAGGCTTATACGCTGCTGGTGAGAGTGTAAATTTGCTCAACCATTGAGAAAAGCAGTTTGGCAACTTTTCAAAAACCTGAAAACAGAATTACCATTTGACCTAGCAATGAATGTAAATTATTCTACCATAAAGACATATGCACGCGTATGTTTTACAGCACTATTCTAATAGTAAAAAAAAAACAAATAAACCTGTATGTCTTCAATGGTAGACTGGATAAAGAAAATGTGGTATGTATACACCATGAAATACGACGTAGCTACAAGAAAGAATAACATCACATATCTTTGCAGCAACATGAATGAAGCTGGAGACTGTTATTTTTAGAAAACTAGTGCAGGAACAGAAAATTAAACACTGTGTGTTGTCACTTATAAGTGGGAGCAAAATAATGAGAAAATGTGGACACAGACACCGAGGCCCAGTTCAGGGTGGAGGGTTGGAGGATGAAGAAAACCAGAAAAAGAAATCTGCTAGGTATGATGCTTAGTACCTGAATGATAATCTGTACACAAAAACTTCATATGATTTTACCTACGTAACAAATCTGCACATGTACTCCTGAACATAAAATAAAAGGTAAAAGAAACAAAATTCAACTGAGCACAGTGGCTTACACCTGTAATCCCAGCACTTTGGGAGGCTGCGACAGGCAGATCGCTTGAGGACAGGAGTTGGAAACCAGTCTGGGCAACATGGTGAAACCCCATCTCTACTAAAAATACAAAAATTAGCTAGGCATGGTGGCACACACCTGTAATCCCAGCTACTCCGGAGACTGAGGCACAAGAATCACTTGAATTTAGTAGGTGGAAGGTTGCAGTGAGCCAGATCGTGCCACTCACTCCTGCCTGGGGGACAGAACAAGACTCCAGGAAAGAGTTCAAGGTAAGTGAGTGGCAGGACTGGTTTGTGCTGCAGATAGTGGTCCATGTGGGGCTATACTCTGATTTACTCCTGTGTCCATGCTGGCACATTAGACTATGACTATGATCAAGTGGTACAGAACCCTACACTGGTGGAGAAAACAGGTTGCTACTGCAAGTCAGTGTCTGGGGTTGGGGATGTGCCAGGAAACTTGCAGGCACTTTGACGGGATTTTGGCAAGAAACACTAAAAGCAAAGGTGCTGTGGTGGAATTCTTGAGGGTGGTGCCTAGACCTGGGAGGGGTGCGGACACATCAATGTCTAGTGGGTATGTTTGCGAATGCATGAGAATCATGTGGTGGCAGCTGTGAAAGAAGGAGGTCTGTTATCACAATTCCTTTTCTTTAAGTTTTTAGTGCCTTCCACCCTGAGAGGAGACCTAGAGTCACAGGACAATGTGCAGTGTGACAGCCTGTGTGCAGGAGAACTGAGCCTCCTCTTACCAGACACCCAGAGGCCCCTCCAGGCCAGGTTCTGTAACATCTTTTTTCTGACACAAAATCTGTGGAGTTCGCTAAACACCAAGCAATTATTTTTCTTGTTTCTTTTCCCTTTTTTTTTCTTTTGAGACAAAGTCTCACTCTGTCACCCAATCTGGACTGCAGTGGTGCTATCGCTATCTCAGCTCACTGCAACCTCCAATTCCCGGGTTCAAGTGATTCTCTTGCCTCAGCCTCCTAAGTAGCTGAGATTACAGGCACCTGTTACCACACTCAGCTAATTTTTGTATTCTTAGTAGAGACAGCGTTTCACCATGTTGGCCAGGCTGGCACCAAGCAATTTTTTAACACCGACTTCTTGTCTGACATCTTTGTCCTGATACCACCCAGGGTCAGCACAAACCATAATTCGGAGCTCAGTCTCACCATACAGCCCTTACTATACACACCTGTCACAAATCCCAGGGACCCATATATATTTCCGAGCTACTATGTGTAAACTAGGGACTCCCGTAATCTCCCTCAAGTTCAATAATTTGATAGAGATACTGACAGAATTCAGCAAAATCCTGTACTTATATTAACAAGTTTATTATAAAACATGCAACTTAGAAACAGTCAAATCGAAAAGAAAAATTTATATGACCAAAAAATGTTTGGGAAAGATGGGGCATATAGATAGTCCTGATAAATAGCTGTGATTAATAAAATTCTCTGGCCGGATGCAGTGGCTCATGCCTGCAATCCCAGCACTTTGGGAGCCCAAGACAAGTGGATTACCTGAGGTCAGGAGTTGTAGAGTAAACTGGCCAACATGGTGAAATCCCATTTCTACTAAAATGACAAAAAATTAGGCATGTGCAGTGGTGGGCACTCATAATCCCAGCAATTTGTGAGGCTGAGGCAGGAGAATTGCTTGAACTCAGGAGGTGGAGGCTGCAGTGAGCCAAGA